ACAGAAATAATTAGGTCTGCCCCTCTATATCATTAATATATAGCATTTCATTATGCACATGGGATGACTTATATAAGATTGAAACTATTTAACTCTTATGGAAATTACTACATTATCTATATCATCGGAAAACATGAATCTTTGTATTGTTTTCAATTTATAAATAAATAAATAGGTAGATAGATACTACTATCTCATGTATGGTAATTAATAATACCATATTTAGTATATTATAATTGAATAGTTAGATTATAAGAAAGTAGTAGCTCATTTTCTTTCAATCACATATGATGTGATGAGTTTATTTTTAAACCAGTCCATATGATGGAATAATTAATCTAAGTGACATTATCACTATTGATAGTTATATGTTTATTATGACAATGATCCTTTTTATATAAGTATAGTCTAACAATTATGTATTCATTTATTATCTTTTACTTGTGAAGTTCAAGACTCATTAGTTTTTCAATAAATAAAAAATTAAACACCCCGTCCCCCATTTAGGTAGCCATCCTTGACTTTCATAAGTTCAAACTTCTTTCCTTAAGTCAACTCGATTTGGTGAGCAAATTCTCAAATCTCATTTCATAAATAAAGCTCCTTCTTATATAAATATAGTTTTTAAAAAGTATTTGGGTCGGGTCATCTATAAAGGGTTAACCTAACAATAAAAACATTTTTTTTTTAAAAACAACTATTGTCGATGCGAGCTCGAGGGGGAAATAGCCGATAAAATGGAGTCGCCACCTAGCTAATTGTCACGACCTTCGAAATGAGCCATAACTAGCGTGAGAATCGAAAGAGTCGTGAGATCCACTTCGGCTCAAGCAAGCCTCGAATATCTAAACTATAATTTTCAAACCCGTAACACATCAAATACCATTTATGATTTGCAATATCACTACCTAATAGTTAATACTTTATAACTCTAATACAAACAATAATTCTACAAGTATTCTTACATTTTTCAAAAATAATATCCATCATCAAATTCTAATACAACTCCCACAAGTGTAACTCGCAAGGCACTTAGAGTATACTAAATACCAAAATACAAGTTCTAAGAGATTACAAGTAAATAAGTTGTATGATTAATGTGCCGGCTTCAAGACAAGTAGCTTTGTGGAAGTAAAAACACAATTTTACAAACCTTGCCAAACTAAAATAGTAGAGTGTGAGCAAATCAACGACTTAGTGAGTAGCTATTATATAACATATCTAAGGAAAGGAAACGAACTATGAATGATAATTTAAAACATACTCGAGATGCAACACTTATTATAACTATCAAATCATGTATCATATCTTTAAACAATTTAAATCCAAATCATATCAAACTTCAAAATCTATATATAGAATAATCGGATCAAATCAAGTATCTAAATTTACACCTGTAGTGAAACAAACATAACTTATCATTGGATGCGAACACCTAAAGGCCATGCCTCCTGTGACTAGGTGTACCGCGTGTTGGTCGACACACGGGCTAACACTACATCTCTCCCGCTAGCTGAAGTATTTTTGTATTAGTGAGCTCACATGCTATACCCCTTTTAGCTAGGTATCCTAGGGTAACCAATCAAATCAAAATCACATAAACTTATACATATTTCAAAAATATCCAAGTCTAATATAGCAAATATAATTCATGCTCAAAATTAGATTTGGTAATGTAATTCAATATCCAATCTTATACTCATAATTTAAACTCAAATACAAATTTATATTAAAAATTATAATTTAGATACTTACTAAAATTATACAAATAAATCAAAATCAAGAATCTAAATTAAATTAGTAATTAAATCCATAAACACAAATCAAACCTTAAGTAAAACACTTATTCAAACATATATTCAAATACCTTTTTAGAATCATATCAAACCTTTTTCGATGTTAAATAATTTCAAATGCACAAGGGAGTCCATTCCCATCTAAGTTATAATGAATGTGATTATATCATAGTTAAATCAATGATGCATGATAGATATATTAAAGAAACTTAAAAACATAATATTCTATATATTATCCACTCACGAGTATAATCAAATGATCAAACGAATTAAAGGTTCGTTGAGATGGAGTCACTTGCTATGAAGATCTAATGATACAAAATAGTGGAATATCATCAATATCACTTGTCAAAGAATAATTCAAAACAAATGAATTACTCTAGAAATAAAGATACAAGATAATTTATAAGAATATAATTAATCAAAAAGATTCAAAGTGATGACTTTAACTAAACTTTTACTCTCTCAAGCGATCCTTAAACAATTACACAACTATATTTCAAGTTCAATTTACAATTCATTTTATATCATTTCAACTATATAGCATTTCATTATGGACATGGCAAGACTTATAGATAATTGAAACTATTTAACTCTTATGGAAATGACTACATTATCTATAACATCGATAACATAAATCTTTATATTGTTTTTAGTTTATAAATAAATAAATAGATAGATGTTACTATCTCAAGCATAGTAATTAATAATATTACGGTTAGTTTATTTTAATTAAATAGTTAGATTATATGCAAATAATAGCTCATTTTCTTTTAATCACATATGATATGATGAGTTTATTTCTAAACTTGCCATATGGTGGGATAATTAATCTAAGGGACATTATCATTGTTGATAGTTATATGTTTATTATGACAATGATCCTTTTTATATAAGTATAGTCTAACAATTATGTATTGGATAGTTTTTTTTTTTTTTACAATAAAATAGATTTGATTCTTAATAAATTTTATTTATTTATTATCTTTCACTTGTGAAGTTCAAGACTTTCTAGTTTTTTAATTAAAAAAAGCAATATTATTTTTTCAAATTAAAATTAAACACCCTCTCCTCTCGATCTAGGTAGCCATCCTTGACTTTCATAAGTTCAAACTTCTTTCCTTAAATTAACTCTAATCTGGTGAGCAATTCTCAAATCGCATTGCATAAATAAAGCTCCTTCTTATATCAATATAGTATTAGAAAAAAGGATTTAGGTCGGATTGCTTATGAAGGGTTAACCTAACAACAAAATTATTTAAAAAGAAAAAAGAAAAGAAAACAACTGTTGTCAATGCGGACTCGTGAGGGAAATTATGAGTAACATGGAGTCACCACCTAACCAATTTAGGAGAACTAAAAGCTTTAAACGTACCGGTCCGTGAAGATATCCGGATAAGGAGTCGGTTACGTATGAAGAATATATAACATTATCATCATCCCGTTCTACCTAAGGTAGGTCGTATTGTTTACATGTGAAAATAAAAATCTAGTTTTCTTATACTATATTTCTATACCTACTTGAATGAATTTATTTTAGTTGGATGGAATTGAGTAATTTAAGGTTTAGGTCAGTATGAGATCGATACTTATAGTTAAAGGGTAAAGGTGAGGGAAATTAGAATTTTGGCTAATCTTTGCTAAACACGACCTATATAGATAAATAGGTGAGTTTCTAAAGACGGATAGCCTTTATTGACATGAATAGAAAATCACCGACAACTTTGCTCACATAAGTGAGAAGCCATCGATAACTTCATCTCACAAGTGGGATGCTACTAGTAATTTCATTTTTTTTGAGTAAGGAGCGAGATAACTAATTTGAAACGTACTAACAACTTCTTCACATAAGTGGAAAGTCACCTAGGTGGTCCGTTTTCCGACAAATAGAATGCTTACAAAATGATGTCAAAATTGCTGGCGGCTATGTCAAATAAGTGAAAAAGCTATCAATAACTTCATTTTCATAAATATTTTTAAGAGAAAAATGATTTTGGGACCATCGACAACTTCACCCATATAGTCGAGAAGTCATTAGTGGCTTGTTTTCCGATAAATAGAACTTATGCAAAATGATATTGAAATCATTAAAGACTTTGTTAGATTAGTGAAAAGTTACAAATAAATTCATTCTTGCTAATATTTTTTAGAGAAAAAAGGTTTTAGGCCCACCGACGACTTCGTCCACATAGGTAGAAAGTCACCGATGACTTGCTTTCTAACAAACAAAACACATGCAAAATGATTTTGAAAACTAGTGAAATTAGATAATGCACCTTAAATAAGAATATTACACATTTAGGTGCATTGCAACCAAGCATGGTAAATTAATTAAACCACAAAACAAGCACCAACTAGCATTAAAAATACGGATATTTAAATAGGGTAATTCATTCATATCTTAATTACAACAACATTCATTCCAATCATATTTAAACCATGAATATATAAATAAAATGTAATAATTTCATTCACATTTTAAAGGAGTACAATCATTTTAGAGGTTTTACTAAAACATATTTATAGAGTTCAAATGTTTGGTTTGAGGGTCGGTTTTACTCTTTTCGTCCTCGATGATAATTAATTATTCGAGTTAATCAAGAAAGGAGAGCAATCACCCATTGTCAAAATGTTGTATGAGCCCCGTGAAGGTGATCGAAGATATCTCGGAGGTCAATGCAAATAGTAAGAGTTTTTGTCGTCGCTAAAGTTACTATAAATTTACCAAAGTTATCTACAAATTTTATAGTATCTCTATAAATTTCCAATTTCTTTGAAAATTATCAATGTTTCTACAATTTAAGGAGACATGGCAATAAAGCAATTACTATGTTTTTTCTTATATAAAAAAAAAATCAAATGCGATCTACAACATCATGTTATTTTTGCCAAACTCAATCTATCAAACAATAATTTTTATTTATTTATTTATTTTTGTGTTTAGTTATGTCCACTATTAAATCAATTTATGTTATTGTCAACGGATTAGCTCTTTTGCATATTTTCTAGTCAAAACAATGTAGATAAGTTTGGTTATGATAAGCTTAGTGGTCGGGTAACTTACTAAAGGTTGAAAATAGAGGTTGGTTTAGGGTGATTAGTTAAGGTGAAGAGGCTAGTGTGGTGGTCGGTTCGACGACAATGAGTTGGTTGATATGGGTTATGGTGTAGGCTAAAAGAGGCGAGTGTATTGGTGGAAGTTGGTTAGCGTAGGCTATGTGCAAGGTGAATGGTAGCTATAGCATTGGTTATGCATGAGGGAGTGGCTAGCGAGGGGGCTAGCGTTGTGAGGGTTGGTGTGTGAGGCTCGCTTCGAGTAAGGGAGAGAATACTTACGAGAGGGCCGGCATCGTGGTGACCGGTGTGCGAGGCTAGCTTTCGATGAGGGAGAGGAGACTTGTAAAGGGGCCGACGTTATGAGGGCTGGTTGTTTTGGGTGAGGCTAGAGTTGGCGAGGGAGATGGTGGTTTCGGGTGAGGTTGTTTTGGGTGAGGTTGGCGATGAGAAGAGATGGTGGTTTTGGGTGAAGTTTAGGTTGTAGTTGAGAGAGAGTCAACTTGGATGAAAATTTTATTAGAGATGAATAGTGGATGCTATAAAAAAATGAGAAAATGGTTTATTTATAGGTGGGTTTTAGGTTTTTTTAGGAAAAAAGTCTATTTTGGTCCTTGATTTCTTATAATCAACAATTTAAGTGCCATTTTGATTGTTCCAACTTCGATGTCACCTTTAAATTTTAATTAATTAGGATTTTTTCTTAAATTTATTTCAATTATACCACTTCTTTATTTCAATTAAGGGATTGAGGTTTTAGGTCTTTTAATTGTATCCTTAATTGTCTCATTTTTTTTATTTCTAAACTTTATATTTTCTTCAATTACCCCTTAGAACTAATCTAAGCCACTTGCTTCAATTGATTTCTTTTATTTTTTTCTACTTAGCATTTTTTATTAGATATTTTTTTTATTTTTTATTTTTGTAATAAAAATAAATATAAAAAATAATAGGAAAAAAATTAATTGTTAAGTTGCCTCCTATTTATAATACTTTGTTACAAAGCCATTGGAAGACTATTTTTTAACTTTGTATAGAAAAAAACAAGAATTAAAATGAAAACACAAGCACAAATAAATGAGCAAACATTAAAAGCAATCATCGGATTCAAAAAGACTACTTTGACTCTACGAAACTTAACCAACAACTAATTTTGTAAGGTGTGACGGACCACTCTAACTTTGCGAAATGTGACAGATCACTTTAACTTTGTAGAATAGGATATATTGCATTGATTTGAAGGGATGTGATAGGCCATGCCAACTTGAAAGGATGTGGTAGACCACATCGATTTAAAAGAAAGTCATAAACCATATGGATTTAGAAAAACATGACGAGACCACATCAATTTAGAAGGATATGACAAACCATATCAATTTTGAAGGAAATGATAGACCACATTGATTTTGTAAGGATGTGATATACCATACCAATTTGGAAGGACATGACGGACCATGTTAATTTTGAAGGGACATGATAGACCATGTCGATTTAGAATGTCATGGCGGACTATGACCGACCATTCCGACTTAAACCGACATGATGGACCACGTTGACTCTATTAGACATGAAAAACTACTCGACTTTGATAGGACTTGATCGGTTACTATGACTCTACTATACATAATAGATCATATTAGTTTAGAAGGATATGACGGATAAATTTTTACAAGATATGGTTGACCACTTGACATAGATCGATATGATAGACCACATCAATTTTGAATATGCAATAGATCATACTTTTTGATAAGATATAACCGACCATTCCGACTTAAACCGACATGATAGACCACGTTAATTTTAAATGACATGAAATATCATACTTTTTGATAAGATATGATCGACCACTATGACTTAAATTGACTTAAGATATAATCGACCATATTAGTTTAGAAAGACATGACATATCATGTTTTTTGATAAGATATGACCGATCACTTTGAGTTAAACTAGTATGATAGAACACATCAATTTTAACCGACATGATAGACCACACTTTTTGACAAGCTATGATGCACCATCTTGACTTAGTCGACATGGAGCTTTCGGAGAAGCATAAGTCGTCACTACTAAGACATAGATTTCCCTTATTTTTTCTCTTCATTTGTGTATTGTCTAGCTTGAATGGGTTCAAAGGTCTAGGCCAACTACTTTCATCGAGTTTGTTTATTTGTATTTTTGATTATGCCTTTAGTTCTTGTGTTCATTAGGATGACTACTTGAACCACTCGTCTACATCATTTGAGTGGTGTTCAGTTTTCCGAATGAATAGGAGATCATTGTTCTTTTATCCCTCTTCTTTGGTAATGTCCCTAAATATTCAAAATTTTCCCAACATATATAAAGAATTTGACCTAAAATGGTTAAAATAACCTTTTCTCTCAACTCGTCAATAGTCACCATGAGGAAGCTTGTAATAGATTTTATAGAGCAGGCACCTCTTATAGATCAAGTCCAAGTAAGATTCTTATCAAGTTATCATATGCCAATTCAATACATTTTCAAATTTCATGAATGACATTAATTACAAAATTTGTATGAGACCAAAGAAGAGTTTTTTCTTTAGGGATTGATCATATTTATAAGAAACAAAAGTTGTAACACCCTTAATCTGGAACTTAATAGGATGAGAATATTATCATTGTTAACTCACATTCGTAGTGCAATGAATGTAGGTTAACAAGGTACTATGATCTTACTATAACCTATTTAAGTGTACTTATGTGGTGAAAGTTCGTTAATAATGATTAGGTCCTATACTTTAATTAAAAATGTCATTATAATTTTTTTGCTTTTATTCAATTCATTCTTATTCTCATACTCGTATTGATGTGCCCGTGAATATCTATTATAACGATTCTATTCTTAGTTAACTATTGTGATGTATTTAAGTGTGATTTCTTTTTATCATTAATTATTTCATTGTTATCTTTTTATTTCTTTTCCTTCTTATTTATTATTCTTTTTACTTAATGAGTACCTAAGATATTTGCCGAATTTCTAATGATGCTAACATGCGATAGATAATTTAAAGTAACCGTGCTACTACTACTACAATACTATTTTATTATTATTTATTTGATTGCATATGTTCACTATTTACATAGAAGATCGATTTTATGCCAACTACTACAAAATTAACTTATTTACCATTATGTCATTACTACTCCTACCCTTTCATTTATCGGTTCATAGCTTTCACCATTACGCGGAAAAATATAGCCATTGCTATAAAGTAAACTAGTATATCCAGTACCATAAGAGTCGTCGCATGTATCAAGTCCACGTGCCAACCATATCCGACATATACGCAACGGAGGCCATCCTTGATATTCATTTCAAAGGTTAGGAGCACCATCTTTACCTAGGTTTGCTATATCACAAGCACATTATTAAGCGATAGCTCGGTAAGTTAACCAATGCATGTACATGCATGTGTGGGGTATAAAACACTAAGATATGCATAATAAATCCTTTTTCCTTATATCATAAAACGTTTCATAAAACAATCTGAAAATCCTTTTTGTCTTTGGATATGTCCCCTTTAGGTACTTTAGGGTTTCCATGATATATGTCCAATGAACCGGATTCGTCCGTAGACGCGTCTTACCGAGCCTCTAAAAGTGCATATCCGTACTTGTCCAGCCTCGAACCATTATGATTTGTATATTGAAAACCTTTGAAGCCCTTTCCTCAAAAAAATCCTCAAAGTTATGAAAAGAATTTTCTTTTAAAATAATTCGATTGTTATCGAAAAATCATGACACGTAATACATTTTCATGACTTGAAATGCCTTTCATAACTTTCACATGCTTATGCATTTTAAATGAAAATGCATAACTAATATTGATTCATAAATACATGCCCTAAATGGTCATGTAGTCATGTCATGAAAATATGTATAAAATTGGACAAGCATAACGACATTAATAACATTACCTCATATTAACCATTCCAACCATCACATCCCATAACAACATAATTCAAATCACATAACAACATCATTCAAATCACATAACCATATCATTGCCCATATTATATCACACACATCAAATACATTCAATTTAAATCAAGGAGACATAAATATGTTGGGAAAGTTTGGTGGAAAAATAATTGATTTTGGTCCCTCAAATTGCTAGATGTTTCCATGGCCCATTCTTTCCCAAATCCTTCTTTAATTCCAATAATCACCTTTAATCCACTCTTTTCAGTCTTTAGGACCAATTTTTGGCCCTTAAAATTTCTATATAATTTAATTTGAGAATTTAGACTTTTAATTTTATGTAATTGAATCCTTAATTTTATGCAATTTAGTCCTTAGAATAAAAATTGCATCCTAAACCTTTTAAAATTCCAATTTCTTTCCAGAATAAATTCAAATACTTATTACTATAATTTCATACAAATTTTCATAATTTTATAATTTTATTTAGACCTCTAAATAAATTATTTAGTGTAAAAATTACACTATTTTCTATAAGAAATATTCCTTATATATTGAATTCTTAATTTTATGCAACTTAATCCCTAGAACCAAAATTGCATCATAAACCTTTTAAAATTCCAATTTATTTCTAGAATAAATTCAAATACTTATTAATAGAATTTCATACAAATTTTCATAATTTTATAATTTCATTTACGCCTCCAAATAAATTATTTAGTGTAAAAATTACACTATTTCCTATAAGAAATATTCCTTATATATTGAAAAATTAATAAAATTTTTTTTTTGACACTCCATACCTTGAGTGTTTTTTCCATGCCATCAAAAAAAATGTCTCATTCTTTTAAAGTATCTAATTTAATTCTTCTATCTCTAAAACACTATTCCTATGCATAGAATTCTAAAGAAAATATTCACATCGCATGAAAAAATTCACATAATCACATAAAATAATACAACATCTCTATAACAAATATTCTAAGAAAAAAAAAGTTCATGCCCCAACAACATGCTTTAATTAATTATTTCATACAAAAAATAGTATTCATGCATCATAAAATCAATAAAATACTCCTAAGCATGGATAAGCTATTTTAACTATTCTAAATATTTTTTTAAGTTCCTATGGATTATTTCTCACCCTCAACATATGTTTCACATGTATTTAATATTGCCTTTTTATTTAATTTAGTTTTAGTGGGTATTGGTTATTACAAAAGTTCTTTGAGAGATGAAAGATCATAAACCATATTATGTTAGGGGAGTCAAGAATAGAGAAAACAAAGTCAAATGATCGAATTTATGAATATTTGACCATAACTAAGATTATCTCTTTGTTGCTCGGATAGAAGAGGAATTGAAATATTTTGG